GCAGTTGCTACACAAGTTCGTGGTATAGCATTAAAGGTTAGTAGCTATTAAAATAAGTATAATAATTAATAAAATTAATTAATTATACTATATTTTTATTTAGATTCCTATTGGAAAAATTCTACCAATAATGATAGCAATGCTTCCTACGAAGGGTAATGAAGATGCTAAACAGATTGCACATTTAATACATCAAGTAATTGAATTGTCCCATTTAGCAAATTTAAATATTTTAAGTTTTGGAGCCAATGGTGCTAGATCTGAATTTAATGCACAGTCAATTATTACAAAAGAAGCTTCAAATTTTTTTGAATATAAAGATTCTTTTTATAAAATTCATTTTAAAGTACCATTATATAATAATAAACCATTTATTCGAATTCAAGATCCAAAACATGCTAAAAAAACAGCTAGAAATCAAATATTTTCTGGAGCAAAACTTTTATCTCTTGGAAATAACACTGTACATGATCAACTTTTTAAATTAGCTCATCAACTACAGCATTTTCTTTTAAAACGTGATGTACTTAATGTTGACAAGCAAGATGATGGTGCTGCATTATGTACTTTTTATTCAAATAATTTAAACCAAATGCTAGTTAATAATACTTTATCTGACGAATTGGCTGGGCTTTTTATATACTTATTTGTATTAGATAACTATTTTAAAATTTTAATTTATTTTTAATTAATTTATTATATAATTTATTTATATTTTTATTTTTTAGGTGAATTGTGTGATGCTTATTTAAATAAAACAATTGATCATAAAACACATATTGAAATGGTATTACGTGCTTATTTTTTTTTAAATATATGGAAAGAATATATTGAACAATGTGCTATTCAATATTCAACAAAATGGTATAATTTACAAAAAAGTTTTATTTCACTTCAAAGTTATGATATTTTTATTAGTATGGTAGAATCTTTAGTAATGCTTATTATAGCACATCATGAATATTATTCACAATTTCCTTTATTACCATGGGAACATGGAACTGAAGTATTAGAACATTTGTTTAGAATTTCACGAAAAATACTTCCTGATTTTAATTTTTATGAGTTTTTTAAAATACAACAAAAAGTATTATTTCATGATAAAATTTCACATGCTGGAATAATTGATACTAGTAGAAAACGAAATTCTGCAGCAGGTATTTAATAATTATCTTTAAATTAATTTTTAAAATTTTATATTAAATAATTAATAATA